GCTATATTTGAGTACATATCTACTCAAGCATACATTTAAATATATTGCGTATAGGAAGGTCATATATGTGTCTACACACACACACACACATACTCACAGACACACACACACCCTTCCTATACCCAAACTCAGCTATTTTGTGCCTGTCCTCATCACATTTCTCTCCTGCAGGCTAAACAGCTCTAGTTCGAAGGCCTTCCCTCTCTGACTGCCCCCGTCTGGATGGAAGGTATTGTCCTTCAGATGGACAGTCCGAGTGAAGGCCAAGATCACTAAATGGAATTCCTGAGGAGACTGTGGGATATAGGGCACATTGTGGGTAATTATTTCATCGAATGTTGCAGTTGTATTTTCTTTCTTCTCAAGTTTGAGAGGAGCCTTTGACAAGGTTACCATTGATATGCTAATGAGACTTGAGTTAGCATCTTCACAGCCCTTTTTTCTGCCTCTTCAGCCTGGCAATCATTACTGGGATAAAGCAGAATCTCATCTCTGGCATGTGTAGCAGACAACCTTTAAGTCATATAATTCACACAGTATTCCATGATGATGATAGCTAGCGTTTATATAGCACCTACTGTGTGCCTATTGAACTAATTATTGAACTAAGCACTTTATAAATATCTCTTTTGATCCTTAAAACAACCCCAGGAGGTACATTCTGTTATAATCCCCATTTTACAGTTGAAGAAACTGAGGCAAATAGAGGTTAAGTGACTTGCCCAGGGGCACACAGTTAGTAGGTGTCTGAGGTCAGATTTGAACTCAGGTCCAAGCACTGTACCACCTAGCTAGCTGCCTCAACAATGACCAGAGGTATGAATTATCACAGCAGGTGTCTTTAGCTTGCCTGTTTCTCTCTAGCTGTTCTCATTAGGGTGGTAATTGATGGTGACTAAAGAAGTTATGGAAGGCCAGCAGAATTTGGAGTCAAGTCTCTGTTTCTCATACAGAGCTTGCCAGGCAATATACCAGATAGCACAGAGTACCTAGGACATACTATGTCAAAGTGAAGCCAATTTTAGAACAAGTATCATTTTTAAAGGCTTCTCTTGGTGAAACTGAAAAAGGACAGGGTGGTATCTGTGCATCTCTCTGGAGGTGCAGTTGGTTGGGGAGGAAGGGAATGCGCCCTCTGCTCTAGGGTCAGGTGACATTTGTTCAAGTTCCCAACTTACCACTTACCACTTACCACTTACATGAACTGGGGCCGTTCATTTAATCCCTGTCAGCCTTGGTTTCCTCATTTACAAAATGGGAAGATCTGGCTAGATAATCTCTAAAGCCCCCTCCAACTTTGGAATTCTGCCATGCTAGTAGCCTTGGGGGGGAAGTGTGTGAGGGCTGCAATAAGAGGGCTCAGGGCCCTCTCATTCTCTCAGGCCTGTCTCCCGTCTGGCGTTACTCCACTCTGCCCTATGCTCCCTTGTGACTCAGGCTCAGGGAGACTTTGAGGGGCATTCAATGGCCTCCCTCATAGAAATGATGAGCACTGTGCATCAACCCTGTCTCAGAAAGAACCCCAGAACGCCAGATGGGTACAGTTAAGCCCCTTGGCTCAGCAAGCTTGCATATTTATGGACTGCACATGGGCCTTGGGCTGAGATGAGTCAGGTTGAGGGATTACTCTTGGGATGTAAATTCATTCCCTTCTCCCTGGCCCCCAGCACAATAAACTGCTGAATGCTGTCTGCCAGGACACCAAGGAACCTTGGAGAGTTACAGAAACACTAATTGACTAAATCGAAGCTGGGAATTATGGAAATGATCTCTTTTAGGACAGGGATTCATTTACATGGTTAGCTTAAGTGTGCTGCTCAATATGGCTACCCAAAATTATTAGTAATAAATATTAGTACATGATATATTTAGCATACCTTTATACAAAAAAACACAAACATAT